TCAGATAAATATAAAATTTCTATTGGAGTTTAAGGAAAACATAGAAAGTATAATCTAAGACCTTTGAGCAAAGTGATACTGATTGAAGTACATAAGAAAATTGATGAAATGATAGAGATGAAAGTTATAAGTAGGGTACATGGTTCACAATATATCTCACCTATGGTATTAGTTCGTGAAAAGGATAGTGAATAACTTTTTATTAATTGTTTATTCAATGACTTTGCTAATAATGAAAATCAAATTAATAAAAAGCATGTAGAGTAAACTCTACTTAATTTAATTTTTGTTTAATTAAAATTTTAATCTAAAAACATTTATTTTTATTAACAAGCATTGAATATTACTTATAAGTTAATTTATACAACACCTCAAAATGTAAATTCCTTAATATTACATTTTAACTTAAAACAAAATATGCTCTATATAGTTACTTGCACATAAACTCATTAACTCAAGGAAAAGTAAAAATGAAAAAATTTTTTTTGAGATTACATTTTTTTTAAATAAGAAAAAAAGAATATAATAAAAAGAGATATTATGAAAAAATATATTTTTTTTTTAAGTCAGCATCATATGACAAAAAAAAAAAAAAATATTTGATATTTTTTTTTAAAATTGTAGATATGCACACAAAAGATAAAGAAAAAAATAAAATAAAAAATTTTTTATTATTTATATAATTTTTTTTTTTAGTATACTTTTATTGCAAATATATATATATATATTTTTTTTTTTAGTATATATACCATTGAATATCTATTTCAGCATACTCATTTATGATGGTTCAATGTCTCAGTTATTCGGCAAGCACAAAATAAAGTGTTTTAATTCCATTTATTTATCTAAATATTATACAAAAGAAGTCTATAATATCATTTGTAGACCAAATGGAGAATTGCTATATTTTATCATTATTTAAATATGTTTTAGGTGATTTATATGTTTTACCCTATATGATACTCACCTTTCAGACATTTTATTGTATGAAATAGTTTTAGAAAATATATCTTAAAAATGTATTTTCAAACATAGCATGAGTTGAATATATTAAACAATACATTGGACTTATAGTGTTGAAACGTGGAATGTTTGTACTTAATGTATTACTAATGTATTACAATTTGAATTAAAAATTGGTAGTGCACAGTTCCAGAGAATAATGGAAAATATCTTTGTGGACTTAATTCAAGAAAACCATGTAGTTGTGTATATTGATGATATCATCTTTTTAGCAAAATCCATTGATGAGTATTTTAAAATATTAAGTATATAGATTACTTAATAGTAATAATTTAGGAATTAACATTGACAAATATAAATTTTTTTAGAGATCTGTGACATATTTAGGACAAATTATTTATTGTAAGGGAATTACACTTTCAGTAGATAAAATAAAAACAATACTGAAGAAGAACAATGTATATCCAAGAAACAGTCGAAGCCATTATTAGGAGCTGCTAATTATTATAGAAATTATATTAAGAATTTTTCCGAACGAACGCCTAAAATAGTTCCATTATTAACTGAGAAAAAAAAGTTTATTTGGAATGAAAAACATTTTAAGGTTTTTAGATAAATAAAAGAAAAGATGGCAAAAATAACTTATTTGTTATTTCCTGAGCTAGGAAAGCCATATGGTATTTATATTGATGTATTTTATTATGCTTTAGGGTTATATTAGCCCAGGCAGATGATAATAGTTAAACTAAATATATTCATTATACATCAAGTAAGCTGCATTATAATTAACGAAAATAGAGTACAATAGAAGAATTATTTTCAATATTTATAACTTGTGAAACATTTGATTATTATATTAAAGGATCTATGGTATTAATTAAAACTTATAGCAAAGTCCTTATAGGAATAGACTTTATTAACACTAGAAAATTATATGGATATCAATTAAAATTGTTAGAATTTAATTTAAAATGTAAACGAATTCAAATAATTCAAAAATGCCTAGATTATTGGATAATCAAATCAATAAATAATGACAATAATCTTAACTACGTAATTTTATTTTTCATTAAGTCATTGGAGGATTGTGAAAGTTTTTGTGTTATTTTATCTTATCAAGATTTGATTGATGTTATAAGAGAAAAATAATATTCCAAGAGATGTAGCATGAATAAATAACTTTTCTACTCACTATAAAATAGAAAGTTATATATACGAGGAAGATATAAAATTTATTTAATGTATTGGTTTCTTAGTAAATTTACTAGATGTTGTAAGCCATTAAGATTTTAAAGAAAATTCAACAAAACTTTTGATAGATAATTATTAGTCTATATATTGAGGAATATGTTACAAATTGTTTAGTTTATCATGTAATGTATAATAGAATGTTTAAGGATAATAATAACTAGGTATTATCAAAATCTAATATATTTTATATGGTCTCATTATATATCATTGGACCCAAAATATGGAAAGGAGAAAAATACTATATTCAGATGGCTATAAATCACTATTCATTGTTTATGTTAAATAGTGTCATTAGAAATACACGCACTACTAGTGATATAATCTCTATGATTAGAAACATCTAAATTCCTATATTTGGATTTTCCAGTAGTATTATTATAGATGGTGGTTCTATTTAAATGAGTTAAGAACTTCAGAAATAGGTTGCAGAATAATTACAAATAAAATTGTACCATGCAAATACTCATTATCCTCAAAGGAATGGCCTTAATGAAAGATTTCGTAATAGTCTTAATTATATACTTAAGACCATATATGTAGAAAAAGATACACTTGTTGGTGAAATGATAAAAAATGCAGTACTGGTATATAATAACATACCTAAAAGTGATCTAGGAGAAACACCGTATTTTACTATGTTCAGGATGTATTCTATATATTATGGTTTTCGAATAATATTGTAGGAAAATAACTTAGAAATGAGAACAATTTATTTAGGTAATAGATGGAAACAAATGCATGAATGTTTAGATAGATTGATAAAGAAACCACTAATAGCAACTAAGGATATTAATGTTGGTAACGTTATCTTATACGAGTTATCAGATTATAAAAGTTATCAACAGAAACATCAAAGTGGTAATAATCGATGTACACCTTATAGGTCTTTATTGCATAGAGGAATTAAAATTGAAAATGAAATAATAATAACTGTACCTATATGCATGGTTTATTAATTGCCTATTCAGTGACTTTCCTAGAGTATTGAATTAACAGATTAATAAAGAAAATGTGCAGTTTCCTCTACTAACATAGTGAATTTAAGTATAATTTTAATGTTATAAACAGATAAACTATATTAATATAGTCTACTTCAATGAACATTATTTTTAGGAGACATTTATTTACTTCAATAAAAATACCTATTTTTATTAAAGTTTTAAATCCTCATTAAATATTGGTTTAAATTACATATATTTTATTTATAATTTTATGAAAAATGTTTAGCAATTCAAATTAGTTGCTTTCAAATTAACAAACGTAAATAATTAACAAAAATACCAAGTAAATTTTATAAATGCTACAAAACGTGAAAATTTTATTATAGTTAATATAAAATGTTCCTATATAAATTTAAACAAAATATACTACAAGAAAGTTTTTAGTCAGCAACTTTTTCTTCCTAATTTTCCCACCATTTAAATCATTTCAACAAAAATATATATATATTTTTTTATGTATTTTAAATCTACAAAATGAAAAAAAAAATTAATTTTTTTTTTTTTATTTTTATATGACACTTGAATGACCAACTATTTATGTTTCATATATATATGACTATTCATTCGGAAAAAGATTAAATAACACCTTTTGTTAACTATTAATTTAATTAATATTTGATATTAAAAACCAAATGTAAATAAATGGCTTAATATTTTTTTTTAACTAAAATAAAATAATTACAGTTCACTCCACATGCTCTTCATTAATTTGTTTGTTCAACAGTAGTAAAGTCAATTAATAAATCAAAAATGCGTATTTATTAAAAAAATAGTAATATTTTAAATGATGCAAAAAGAACTAAAAATTGATAAATTATTATTAATATAAAAACCAAGAAAAAAAAAACACAAAATTTTATGCCTTTGATGCTCTATACATTCCTTACAAATTTTTAAAAATATAATATTAATCTATAATTAATAAGCATTTATTATATAAATGTATTTTTTTATTATTAACTTACCTATTTTTAAATTATACTATTTCTCCATAAATAATTTATATTATTTGCATGCACTTCACTAAAAAATGCTATCCATTTCTAAATTACCTAATTGCATTGTAAACAAATGACATGACTGCATGCACTTTTCTAAATTATAATTCATCTTTTTGCAAATTATACTATTGTAAAATATATAATTTATATAATTTAATTGTATTATTAGAAAAATTATTATAAATTTATCCATTTAGATAAAATAACATTTACAATTTTGGTAGCAAAAAAAAAAAAAAAATTGAGTATAATATTCTATAATATCTTATAAAAACCATAAAGCAAATTTCTTGATATAATTATTAGTAACTATATCGAAAAAACCATATTTTACTTTATCAAGATAATTTATTAATGTATAATTTTTCCTATAAATATATATGTTTTAATAAAACAGGATATGCATTTTATTTAAACACATTATTTTTATAAAAATAAAAACTAAAGTGTTTAATTTAATATAGCTAATTCATAAGTTAAAATTAATATATAAAAATATTTATTCATAATTTATAATACAAATATGTAATATTTCAATGTTTTTGGAATATAGACTAATAATTTATATGCTATATTGTAATTTAGAATATGGAATGCATTAAATTGCTGTTTAATTTGTTTTTAGAGATATAAAATAAAAACATAAATATTTTTTTAAAAAAATTAAATTAAAATTTAATGTGTATTATATTAAATGCGGAATAGAATTTTAATGTATCAACATTAAGTTCTCTTTTTTTTTTTTAATTTTAGTAAAGAATAAGCAACATAAATATAAAAACAAATGTTATATTATTTTTTTTTTTACTTTTTACAATTTTTAATTTTAATTAATATTTATATTTCACAAGAACAAAACAATGAGATATTTTCTTTTATATACGAGTATATAAATTTAGGATATATGTATTTTGAAAAACAATTATTTTAATTAAACATTATATATTTGTATAATTTTTTTCATTTTTAGACATCTTTCAACTCTATCTGATTACGATCCATCCTGTAGCATGGATATGAATAATTTGGAAAATGTAGGAAGTTTAGATAATGGCGACTTTTATGATACAAGAAATGTTTTTAATGACGTACGTTTAATTCTAAATATCGATGAGAAAAATTCTGATGTGTCTTCTGAGAGGTATATTATTTTTAGTTAATTTCACTTAAGAAATATTTCTTTTTAACTAATTTTTTATTTGTATTCAATTTTTTTTCATTTTTAGAGATTATTCAACTATTTATACTTTAGAAGAGCCTAATGACATAGGTTTAATGCATTATGAAGATATAGATTATGGAAACAAGTGTACACTAGAAAACTTCGTTAATGAATCACAAGGTACAATCCTAGATAACAAAGTGGAAAATCTCTGTTTTCCTTTTCAACAGTATATGCTTTTTGGATATTTTTATATAAAGTTTTTTTCATTTTATTTAAATTGTTATGTATATTTTTTTTTTTTTTTTTTTTTAGAGAACATTCAACTATGCATACAAGAGAATCTTCTAATACAGGTTTAATGGACCTACTAGGCGAAAAACACGAAAATTCATATAATTCACAAAATATATTTAGTGAAGTACAAAGTGCATTACAAGGCATTCAAGTAGAATATTTAGATTTGCCTTTTCAACAGTATATACTTTTTAAATATTCTCACTTATAAAATTTTTCATTTTAATTAATTTTTATATATATTTGCTTTATTTTTAATTTTAGACAACATTCAACTATTCATACGACAAATTATCCTAACATAGACTTAATAAACATGCAAAACGAAGAATCTCAAAATCTACAAACTTTACAAAATGTTTTTTGTTATTCACCATATTCTTCTGCATACAAAAATGGAGGATTTCTTGATTTACTCTTGAGAGAGTATATTAACATATTTTTTCTACGCAAAACCTTTTTTTTTTTTTTTTTTAAATTATATATATATGAAATTTTGATTATTTTTAGAGAAAACTTAACTACTAAAACTAATGAAGAACTACCTGGAACAAGTGTAATGCACATGGAAGATGTAAAACATCAAGAATCTATTAAACCAGAAAGTAGTTTTTCTTGTTTTTCAAAAAATGAGTATGCGCTTTTTAAAATATTTAAACTTATAAAACTACGTATTTTAATTAAATATTCTGTATATTTATGCATATTCTTTTTTTTTATTTTCTACACATACAAAAACTATCAATCGTAAAGAGAAAAATCATATTCAGTATATACAGATAAACATAAATTAGAGAAAGGTATAGAAGATGGAGAAAATAAAGAAAAAACTGATGAACAAATTTTAAAAGAAATTTCTCAATACATAGAAGATTTTTGCAAGGATTTACGTAATAGCGAGTATGTATTTTTTAAAATATTTAAGATTAAAAACGTTTTGTCTTAATATTATATGAATGTATAAAATACTATGTTTTTATTTTTAGTAGCACCTTGTATAATAGTAGTAATGAGGAAAAATCCAGCAAAAAAAAATCAATGAAAAGAAAACATGAAGAAATTGATAACATGGATGACGAAGATATTGAAAATTTTCTTTGTATTTACTCTATAGAAAACAATGATAATTATGAAGGTTATGAAAATTTATTATATTTTCTTTTAGATATTTTTCATTTGGAGTCTAATGAAATACCTATTGGTATAGTTTCAAATTTAGAAAAAATGGTAGATTATTTAAAAAATGGAAACATAATAAAAAATTTAGAAAAAAAATTGAAGACAAATATAATTCCATTAAAAGAATATATAACTGAGGAACTACAAAAAATTGATAAGTTTGATTTAGAAGCAATGAAAACATATTATACCGGTCTTCCAAAAAACATTAAATTAAAAAAAAAAATTTATAGTTATATTAATTCATTTCAGCATACTATAAATTATGAACTTAATAATACAAAAGAAATACATAATAAAATAAATATATTTTTAAAATTTCTTAATAATTTATTATCTGAAGTTGAATTTATAAGACACGCAAATTTTTTTAAATCAATAGTTATGAATGACGCTATACTTAATAAATTATTTCTTAATGGACGTATTCAATCATTTGGTAATTTCAAACGTTTTTTTAAATTATTTAAAATAATGGATGATATAATAAAATATAAAGAAGAATCACTTAAAGGTAGATTTATATCAGATTGTAGCTCTGAAATAAATCTATCACAAAAAAAAATATGTAAATGTAATGAAATATTATGCAAAATTATTAAAATAAATTTTACAGAACTTCGCAATATTTTGAATATACTTAATTTGTCACATGATAACTATAATATAATAGTACAAATTATTTTTCATTTTTTTATTAAAGAAAATATGAAAAATATAAAATATTTAGGAGAATACATAAATAAACACCATGAAATCAATTATGCAAATTTTTTAAAAGAGTTTTTATTAAAGGAAAAAAACAATATTTCAAAATATTATGAAGAAGCTTCCAAATTTCTTAATTTAGATTTGAATGACAAAATTAAAGAAAGTATAATCTTCAATGATTTAACAAAAGATGAAAAGAAAAAGAAATATTTAGCTTTTCTTCATAAAACTCTTATGAATTTAATTGGAAGTGCATACCTTAGGAAACAATTATGCCGCATTATGAACATACGAAAATCATTAATAGAGATAAGTTCAAGTAAAATAAGAAAAAGTATTTTAGATAAATCAAAAAAAGATTTATCGAAGAATTATCATTTAGATTTACTTACAAAGTTAGAATCTGAAAAAAGTAAATTGGAAAAAATTAAATTAAATATAAAAAATATACATTCATTTTTTTATTTAAAAGAAATTATAATAAATATTTATATTGAAACAGATAATTTAAAACAAAAAATATTAGAAATGAAATCAATTTTTAATTTCATTAGTCGCTTAATAAGTGAAAATGAACGTAGAAAATATTTAAATAATAAAAAATCATGTAAAATGAAAATTATATTGTTCTCACTATATTATATCAACCAAAAACTAGATGAATTTTTTGAAAATTAATCTTAAATTATAACATTTAAAAAAAAAGTATTACCAAAATGGTGATTTTTTAGATATATATAAGCGGAAATTAATTTTTAATATATGAGAAATTTTTTTTTTTTAAAAAAGTATTAGATATAAAACTAACGGAGGTATATTTATATTTTTTTAATAATTAGAAATGAATTACTATTATTGATGCAAAAATGGCTTTTCTCTAATTTGTTTTTTTTTTTTTGCTAAGGATGAATATTATTAACTTCTTTAAATATGTTATATAACTAAAAAATTATTGATAATAGTTTAACATATAGGGACATTAAAAAATATAGACATAAAAAGGTATGTATATATATGCATAATAAGTATAATAAAATTATCATATTCAGATATGGCACTAAAATTAGATTATTAAAATATGTGTACTATAATTAGTATAACAGGTTACTGTCTAATAAAAGGTATTATAAATATTTTTTTAGAATAAAAAATAATATCTATATGGAAAATAAATAACTAGCCATTCAAGAGTTAGAAAAAAAAAAATTGTTAATTTTTTTGTTTTCTTTTTTTAATTTAAAAATATATATAAAAAAATATATATATTTGTATTTTTTTTTTTTTAAATGTTTAGATTGTCTAAAATTAAAAAGAATAGTTGATTAAAAAGCTTTTTGTATATTTTGTTTATATTTGTATAAGAAAATTTTATATTAATGATAATCAAATTTCCGTGTTTGTATATTTGTATAATTTATTTTGCATTTTGTTAATTATATATGTTTATTAATTTGAGAGAAATTTATTTAAATTACTGAGTATTACTTGTAATATTATAAATAAAACACATAATCAAAATTGATAATTAAAGAGGATATAAATTTTTAATAAAAATAGGGTTTTTTATAAAAGTAAATAAATTTCTCTTAAAAAAAATAAGTGCTCAATGAAGTATACTATATATAAAATGATTTATTGGTTTATATCATTAAAATTAAATTTAAATCTATATTTATTAAATTAGTTGAGGTAACTCTATATACTCTTTATTAATTTGTTTGTTAAATACTTTAGCAAGATCATTGAATAGACAATTAATAATTCAATAATACAATATACAATATTAAATAGATTATTTTATATGACATTCATAATACTTTAAATAAAAAGTATATTAACTTAATGTTTTTATTATTATTTATTGGTTAGTAAAAACTACATTAACTTATTTTTATATCACATATATATTAATAAAACATTGAACTTTTTGATGCAGAAAAAAAATTTCAAGATAAAATTCTTTAGTTACATAAATTGCAACAATCAATTCAAAACACTTCAGAATTATCATTAATAATAAATATATCAATATGTATTCATAGCAGTTACGTATTAGTCAATAAAGACATTATCCTTTTATAGTATATTAGAAAATTATAAGGAGAATATGTTGTATATTCCTTATATTTCATAAAATTTCTAATAAAAAAAAGGAGAATTTTATTTTTATTGTAATTTGTTTTTATTAATTGTTTATACTTGATTTTAATTAAGGAAAAAAGAAAATTTTTTTTTTGGACTATTGAAAGGATTTTTATTTATTTAGATATTAAATTTTTTCAAATTAATTAATTTTAGAACGATTAAAAATTCAATTTAAATTTTAAAGATATACAAAAAATATTTTATTTCTATTAATATTTAATTTTTATGTATTCTTGAAAGACTATTAACATCTCTTAATTAAAATTATTATTTCAAGAGATTTCCCTTCGAATTAGTCGACAATTTTAATGAGGATTTAAGTTCTTAATAAAAATATGGATAAATTTTTATTATAGAAAATAAATATTTATGGAACTATAAACGTTTAGTTATATGTCAATAAAAATTACTAATAAGCTTTTATGAAATAACAAAGACTTGTAGAGAAAATATAAAGTTAGCCATGCACATTCATTAGATAAAAAAAAAAAGAGTTTACTGCTTTTTTTTATTTTATTTATTTTTTTATATGGCGATAAATGTTTTATTGAATTTTTGTAAATTGATCTAATTTTTAAACTAATAAAAAATCATTTTAAACTTTAAAAAGAAAAGGAAAAGGATAAAGGAATTTTTTATCATTATTTAATTTTTATGAATTTATAAAAAGCAATAATATTAATTTTAATTTTGTTAATTTATTTTATAAGAATATTTTACATACGTAGAACAATTTTAAAGAGGATTTAGATTTTTAATAAAAATAAGGATAATTTTTATTAAATTAATAAATTCCTCTAAAAACCATAAATGTTCAGTTATTGATTTATTAATTTATTAATTGTTAGTTCAATGATTTTGACAATGTATTCAACAAACAAACTAATAAAGGGCATGTATAGTTACTTTTACTAGTTTAATGAATTTAAATTTACTTCTACTACTATATATCTGTAAAATGAATTTATGTAATATATTTCATTGAATGTTTAATTATTTTTAAGAGGTATTTATTCACTTTAATATAAATTCTATAATTTTATTAAAATTTTATATTTTCACTAATTAATGATTTTTAATTAAATGCATTTTACTTACGAAGTTAAGAACAATGTTTAGCAATTCATGTCTTTCTTTTAATAGAAATGAGTAATTATTAAAACACAAAATTAATTTACATAAATATAACAAACATGAAAATTTGATTCATTTAAGTATAACTTTTTCTTTTTAAAAGAATCAAAATTAATTCTCAAAAAACACATGGTAAATAAATTTTAAATTTTAACAACATAAAATTATATTGTTGAATAATTTTACACCGTTAAAATTTTATTTAAAAAAGTTGACTTCATTTTTTTTTTTTATCTAATGCTTGAATTAACAATTTTACATTTTACGAGTGGCTATTGATTTTTATTCTAAAAAAGGTTAATAATATCTTTTATTAAACAGTTATAAAAGCTATATGTATAAAACTTAATTAGAGCATATATATTTTTTTAAAACAGTTAAAATTAATAAAACCCATTATGCATTGTCTTTATTAATTTGTATGTTTAATACTTCATTAATGATTTTTTATTCTCATTCAATGACTTTGCTAGTATATTGAACAGATTAATAAAAAGCTCATTTAGTTGGCTTTATTAATTTAATGAATTTAAATTTAATTTTAATGCTACAAACCAATAAGCCGTTTTATGTATAGCCTACTTCACTGAGCATTTATTGTTTTTAAGAGGAATTTATTTACTTTAATAAAAATGTTATTTTTTTATTAAAAATTTAAATCTTCTTAAATTATCAATTATAATTATATATGTTCACTTATAAACAATAATGTTCACCTATTTAAACCAAATGTTCTCAAATTAACATCAATAATTACTAGAATACAAAATAAATAATATGAATTCTATAAAGCACTAAAATTTTATTATTTTTACTATAAATTATTTTATAAAAATTCAAATAAAAATTCACTACAAAGAATCTTTTTAGTCACAATTTTTCTTTTTTTTTTTTCTGTAATAATTAAATTATTTAAAAAATGAATATATTTTTTTTTTATTTAAAAAAATTACCGAAAAAAAATAAGAAAAATTAACTAATTATTTACTTTTTATGTCGTATTTAACAAAAAATTCTAATGACATTTTTGAGAATAAAAAAGGATACTTATATGGAAAATAAATAGTTAGCCATGCAAATGCGAGTTAAAAAAAAAAAAAAAAAAAAATTGATCAATTTTATTTTGTTTGTATTTTTATAAAAAAAAAAAGTGCAAAGACCGTCAGGAAAAAAAAAATTGATAACAAAAAAAAAAAAAATCAACTGGAAAAAGATTTGTTACCAATAAGAATAAAATAAAAAAAAAAAAAAAGATTTTTTTTTTAGGAAGTATGATTTTTAATTTTGTAAGAGATAATTTTATACATATAACAATAAAATTTTCACGTAATTAATATTTGTATAATTAACTTGTCACTAATTGTTTATGTTTGTTAATTCAACAACAATATATTTAAATTTATGAACATAACTCAAAACAGAGAAATAAATAAATTACATTTAATTATAGTCAATATTCAATAAGGATTTAAATTTTTAATGAAAATGAGATTTTTATTAAAGTAAATAAATGCCTATTGAAATTAAAGAATTCTGAACGAAGTAGAACACATAATTAAGAATCATTTATTCAAAGCATATAAAAATATATATAAATACATCAAAATCGTAGAGAAAACTCTACATGATCTTTATTAATTTGTTTGTTCAGTAATCTAGCAAAGTCACCGAACACCCAATTAATAAACCAATAGGATAAGTTGTGTCTATTTTAATTTTATCAGATTGTTCATTTTTATTAATTATATGAAATATTGAATGCATGAGTTTATTACTATTTCTGTTATTTAATATCTTATATAAATCACATTTCATATACTCTCTTAATTTTTCATAAAAAAAAAGAACTTATAAAATATATTCATATTTTTTTCTTATTGTATTTACTTATAGAGCAATTATTTTTTTTTAGTTTATTTACATTTATTGAAAATATTTTTTTTTTAATATAGGTACTTTGTTTAAGTGTTAAAATATACATATATACCTTCATTTTAATATACAAAATTAAAATTTTTTTTTATTATGTTATTTATTTTAATATTATTTAAAATTATTGATAACACTACTATATGCAAGTATTTATGTTATCAAAATTTTATGAGAAACATAAGGAAAAATAAAATAATTAAAATATAAATATATAAAAAGAAAATAAGATAAAAAATAAAATAAATGCATTCCTATAACAATTAGAAGTTATCAATTAAGCATATAAAGGCTAAAAAAAATGACAAATAATTTTTTTTTTATGTTTAATTAGAAAATTATAATAATGTCATCTAAAATGTTATATTGTTATTGGGTTTTATATTTATTTATTTATACATTTTATATGGCAATAAAAAAGTATACTCTTGTATTTCAAAGGAAAAATCCATTGTATTTAATTAAAGATAATATCTTTATAGTAAATATAATTAATAAAATGTTTGTTAACTCAAAATTTATACTTTTGCTAATTAGTTTAATAAAAGAAAATTTATAAAAACATATTTTCATAATATGTTTCATATAATAAATAATATTCTTCATAGTTTTTAGAACAATAAGGAAGATAAATTTGCTAAAAAATAAATAAATTTGTTCGAAACATGCTATTTTCTGTATATATATTGTTAAAAAAATTGTTTTTTTTTTTTTTAAATTGTAACCAATTTATTTAAAGTGCTTTTTATATGATATATTATTTTAATTTATTAAAAATTGATGTATTTTTACTTTTTGTTTTGAATTTGTTTATTTCATAATTTTTTTTTATCATTTTGTGGGAAATAAATGAATGATAAAATTTTTTTCGGAAATCATAATAATAACAAAAAATAAGTATATATACATATACTGTAAAAACATTTATTAATAATAAAAATAAAAAAAAAACAATACGAAAAAAAAAAATAATAGAAAAATCAAAATAGATACAATTAAACCAATGATATACACACAATTAAAAATTAGGTTCATATTAAACAAAAAATTACCACCAATTTAGTAAATTGAATGAAAAATACATGCATAGAAAATTTTTCAATTTTTAATGTTTTTTTTTTTTATTGATGGAGATATAATATCTTTAATATATCTAAATTTATATCTATAAATCATAAATTTCATATATAAGATAATTTAAAGTTTAAGTTGCTTCACAGAAAAAAAACTAATATTTATGCAAAAAAGAAATAAAAAAAAAAATCATTAATGTTAAGTAAATAACATTTATAATTTTAATTTGTATTAAATTAGCAATATATAATTTTTTATCTATTTTAAGAGAGATTATAATTTTAATGAAATAATTTTAAAATAATTTTACGTATTTTAACATTTTAACTTATAAATAAACGTCCTTCTTTAAATTATTTTTCGAAAAATTAACACTATTAATCTTACATAAAGTAAATGTAATATTATATATAATTATGAATAATTATGAATTATATTTTATATAAACAAATAATTTTCTACCTTAAAAATTAATTTACAAAGATTATAGTATCATATAAAGTAATATTACAATTCTCTAACATAGAATTTTTGAAGATAAAAACGGTTTTATATCTGGTTTAATAACTCCAACTTTATTATTATACTATAAAAATAAAAAAATTAAAACATTTACTTTATGTTTAAAGATTTTTACATTTCTTATTTTATCTTGGATATTTCATTGCTTTTACAACGTACGATAATGTTCATATAAAAAAAATATATATAGATATATTTTGTTTCTAATAATTTTGTAAAATTTTATATAATTTATTATTTGGTAGTAAAAAAAAATTTTAAACAATTTTTATTTTATCTTATAGCATGATCACAGTAGGTATTTTATGAATAAATATACACTACAAATAAAAAACAAGCTCAAAGATAAAAGAGTATTAGCGGAGGGTGATATATCGGAAAAAAAACAAACAATTATAAAAGAACATAAAGAATATTATCCATTTGGTGAAAAAGATAACCAGGTTGAAAAGCTGGTTTATTTCATAAACATATATAGCATGTTGTATAATGCTTTTCTTCTATTAATATATGAATTGTTTTCTAAGAAAACAAATAAAATGAGTAATAAATGTAAAGAACAAATATCAAATGTATGTAGGAATAATAATTCAGAACCATATTATATGACAGAATTTTCACTGATTTACTAATATCATTTTATTAATCTTTATTTATATTATAATAAATTATTACGTCAATATAAAGAAGAATGGGAAAAATATAAAATAACAAAAAGTGATAAAAAATGAAAAATTAGAAATTTGATTAAAAATAGACTTTATTAATCCTTATGAAATTAAAAATTAATATATGAAAATAGAATACTGAATTAACCATGCACTAGTGCTAATTGAAAAAAAAAAGTTAATATTTTGCTTTACATTTTATTATAAAAATATATTTTATTTTCTTAATAAAAAAGAAATAAAATTATTAAAAGAGAATAAATTTTTAGAAAGAAATATATTTATGAGAAAATATTATATTTTTGAGAATGAAATTTTGGTTGCTAGTGATATTAATATAATTTAAGTTTATTTTTGCTCTTTTAAAAGAAATTCAACTTGAATAACTGTTTTATTAACTGGGTGTTCAGTGACTTTGCTAAAGTACTGAACAAACAAATTAATAAAGAGCATGTAGAGTTGCCTCTACAATTTTTGATGAATTTATACATATTTTTAAATGCTTTGAACGAGTGATCCTTAATTATGTGCTCTACTTCATTCAGCATTCTTTAATTTCAATGGACACTTATTTACTTTAATAAAAATCTTTGTTTTTATTAAAAATTTATATTCTTATTGAATATTAATCATTAATAAAATGTATATTACTTATTTCTTTGTTAAGATTTGTGTTCAGCAATTTAAATATATTGCTGTTTAATTAACAAATATAAACAATTAGTAAAAATGCAAATTAATTATATGAATATTAATTACATGAAAATTTTGTTATTATATGTATAGAATTTTCTCTTACAAATTAAAAATACAAATACTATGTAAATTAAATTCTTTTGTATATAAATATCTTTTGTATGTTTAATATCTCATTCTTATTGGTAACAAATCTTTTTCCATTTTATTTTTTTAACCAATTTTTCTCGTTATTTTTTTTCTTAAAAAGAAAAAAATTATATTTTTTTTTTACATCTTTTAATTTATCAAGAGAGAAACAAAAAAAATTGATCATATTTTTTTTTTTTTTTTTTTTTTTTATTTGCATGTGCGTCATCAACCGCGTATTCTTCATATATGTAGTCCTTTTATTTTAAAAAAAGGTTAATAAAGCCTTTATTAACCAGATATTATACAAAAGGATTAACAAGGAGCATATAGAGTTTCCTATACCATTTAAATGAATTTGAATTTGTTTTTAATACTATAAACCATTGAAATGTATATGGTCTTCTTTATTGAGCATTTATTGTTTTTAAGAGGCATTTAATCATTTTAATAAAAATCCCTATTTTTATTAAAAATTTAAATCTTTATTTATTATAGTTTTAAATTACGTGTATTTTATCTATAATGTTATATTTAATGTTTAGCAATTCAAATTCATTTCTCTCAAATTAATAAACATAAATAATTAAAAAAATAAATTGTACAAATAATACAAAACACTAAAATTTTATTATATAAATTTAAATAAAATATACTATAAGAAACTTCGTGACAACAATTCTTTCTTTTATATTTGGATAATAAAACGTATTATTGGACTTTTTGAGAATAAAAAATAGTTTCTGTATGGAAAATAACTAGTCATGCAAGAGATTGATAAAAAAAAAAATTATTAATTTTTTTTTATTTTCTTTTTGGTAAATTTGGAATGCATAAAAAAATATATTTTTTTTTTTCAAATGATTTAATGATTGAAAAATTGAAAAGAAGAGTTGTTGACTAAAATGTTTCTTGAAGTATACTATACTTTAAGTTCATGTAAGAAAATTTTATAACAATGATAATAAAATTTTCGTGTTAGTAATATTCCGTAGTATATTTTATATTCTGTTATTTATTTTTTTTAATTTTGGAAAAATGGATTTGAACTGTTAAACCTTACTCATAACATTATAAATAAAATATATATAGTTAATATCGATAATCAATGAGGTTTCAAATTTTTATTAAAAATTTAGTATTTATATTAAAGTAAATAATTTCCTCTTAAAAACAATAAATGTTAATTTAGGAAGACTATATATATAAAGCAGTTTACTGGTTTATAACATAAAAACATAACATACATTAAATTAGCAGAGAAAATTCTATCTTCTCTTTATTAATATATTTGTTCGATACTCTAACAAAGTTATTGAATAAGAAATAAATAAATTAATATTTCAACTGAAAAATTAATCATTTCAAAAAAAAAGTAAATATATTTTTTTTTTTGTATTTAAAAATAATAAAAAGAAAACAAAGTAATTATCAATTATTTTTTTATATTTTATTATTTTTTTTTTTTTTTTTTTTGCATCTAGAATTTGCATGTATAACTATATATTTTCCATACAACTATTAGCGTTTATTCTCAAAAATGTTAATAATACATTTTATTAGCTAACAAACAATTATTAAGTAAAAAAAAAGAAAATAATTAGTTAATGTTTTTTTTATTTTTGTAAATTAAATAAACAAAAAAATAAATTTATACTTTTTTTAAAAGAAATTTATTAGTCGAAAAATAGAAGAAAAAGTTATTGAATAAAAAAGCTTATTGTGGTATATTTTTGTTTAAATTTATATAAGAAAATTTTATATAAACTATAATAAAATTTTTGTGCTTTGTAGTACTTACATAATTTAATTTGAATTTTATCAATTTTTTATGCTAGTTAATTTGAGATCAATAAATTTGAATTGTTAAATGTAAATCATAATATATGTAAAATAAATGTAATTAATAGTTTATTAATTTCCTATTCATTACTTTGCTGGAGTATTGAAAAATAGGATTAACAACGAGCATGTAGAATTTCTTTTACCATTTAAATGAATTTAAATTTGTTTTTAATACTATAAGCAACTGATATGCATATGATCTCCTTCATTGAACATTTACTCCTTTTAAGAGGCATTTAATTATTTTAATAAAAATCCCTATTCTTATTAAAAATTTAAATCTTTATTAATTATAGTTTTAAATCACATATATTTTACTTATAATGTTATGATTAATGTTTAACAATTCAAATTCACTTCTTGCGAATTAGCAAATATAAATAACAAAACACAAAATAAGTTATACAATATTACCAATGTGAAAATTTTATTATTGTTAATATATAATTTTCTCTTTAAAATTCAAAGATAAAAATTTGCTACGAAAAAAATTTTTTATCAAGTTTTCTTCTATTTTTTAATAACTTGAATATTTTTTTCACACTATACAATTCATTTTATCTTCATTTATCTAGTACATTCATGTCTTTTTATTTTCCATGCAGCTTTTAATTGTTTTCTCAAAAAGACTAATAATTCCTTTTATTAACAAATCATTAACTCTAATAATTCTCAATAAAGACTTTTTTTTTTCCTTTTTATGTCCTTTTTTTGTCACGTAGCTAAGCTGGTAATTATTCTGCATCCAACTTTTTTTCTTCTATTTTATCCTCTACGTTTTCTACCTGATTTATTTATTTTCTATAATTTACATTTTTAATTTATTAAATTATCATTCAATGAATTTGCTAGAGTAATGAAAAACAAATTATTAAAGAGATTATGGAGTTTTCTCTAGTAATTAAATGGATTTTAAATATAATTTTAGTGATATAACAAGTAAACTTCAATAATGCGCTTCATTGTGAATTTACTTGGATAAAAATTATGTAATTTTATTAAAAATATATATTACCATTAATTATTAATTTTTAGGTAAATAATAATTATTGCTTTTTATAAGTAATTTTCAGTAATTTAAGTTAATTACTTTTAAAAATAATAAAAATACTCAAATAATAAAAAAAAAACATTAATTATATTAATATCACTTAACGAAAATTTTATCCTTAAAAATTAAATAATATTCTCATGAAATGTTTTCTTTCTAAAAAATTTTTCTCTTTTAATTTTTTTTTTTTTTTTAAATAAAATACATCTCTATAAAAGGAATTTAGATAAAATATTAATTTTTCTTTATTTTAACTAGATCTTGCGTACGAATAATCCTATATATCCAATTAAACCATCAATTTTAATTCTCTTAATGGTTATCATTTTTACCAAAAGGAAATTTCAAAATATTTAATTTCTTATGTTTTTTTTTATTTTTTTCCTGCTCTTTCTTAGGTTCGGATTCTGTTATATTGACTCTCATCTCTTTCTTAGGTTCGGATTCTGTTATATTATCTTTTATCTCTTTCTTAGGTTTGGATTCTGTTATATTATCTGTTATCTCTTTCCTAGGTTCGGATTCTGTTATATTATCTGTTATCTCTTTTTTAGGTTCGGATTCTGTTATATTATCTGTTATCTCTTTCTTAGGCTCGGATTCTGTTATATTATCTGTTATCTCTTTCTTAGGTTTGGATTCTGTTATATTGTCTCTCATCTCTTTCTTAGGTTCGGATTCTGTTATATTATCTGTTATCTCTTTCTTAGGCTCGGATTCTGTTATATTATCTGTTATCTCTTTCTTAGGTTCTGATTCTGTTATATTATCTGTTATCTCTATCTTAGGTTCAGATTCTGTTATATTATCGGTTACCTCTTTCTTAGGTTCGGATTCTGTTATATTATCCGTTATCTCTTTCTTAGGTTCGGATTCTGTTATATTATCTGTTATCTCTTTCTTAGGTTCGGATTCTGTTATATTATCTGTTATCTCTTTCTTAGGTTCGGATTCTGTTATATTATCTGTTATCTCTTTCTTAGGTTCGGATTCTGTTATATTATCTGTTATCTCTTTCTTAGGTTCGGATTCTGTTATATTTTCTCCCTTCTCTTTCTTACCTTGGCCTAAAAATTTCTGACGTTTTAAGTCACGTTCGTTCTTAGCACTATCAGTTATATTATTTTTTTCTTCGCGACGAAACATTGAACGTAGATTATTAACA